GTTTTTGTACCTCATGTGTGTTTTTAACGTAAACTTGTGTGTGAATGAGAATTAATTAATTAATTAATACTCACATGCTGTGACAGCTGCTTTCTCTCCGTGCGCTTCGGATGTGTTCGCTCAGAAATCCGTATATCAGAAGTTTAAACTCCTATGGTTTAAAACGCATGATTTCATCACGATAAATATGATAATCAGAACCAAAACAGATGTTTTTAGCAGGTACCAGCTGTAATGGCGCAGCTCTATTATGGAAAAGAGGGCGGGGAACAGCAGCTCATTTGCATTTAAAGAGACAGGCCCAAAAAACTGTTTTGTTTAGTTTTTTCGCTTTTTCACAGAACAAACAGAACACATCTGATCTTTTTTTGTCATGTGTAGATCCTGGAGGCCATCACCATGCAGCACATCTTCATGAACAACTTCCAGCTGTGCAGTGAGATGAACGAGCGCGTCGTGCAGCACTTCGTCCACTGCATCGAGACCCACGGCAGACACGTGCAGTACCTGAAGTTCCTGCAGACCATCGTCAAGGCCGAGAACAAATTTATCAAAAAATGCCAGGATATCGTAATGGCTGAGGTGGGTGGCTGATGTGCTGAAATTGCTTTTGGTTTTGGTGGTTATGTCTAACATGAATCAGTTTTGTTTCTGCAGTTGGTGAACTCAGGAGAGGATGTGCTGGTCTTTTATAATGACCGGGCCTCCTTCCAGACTCTGGTCCAGATGATGCGTTCGGAGCGTGACCGGATGGATGAAAACAGCCCCCTCATGTACCACATCCACCTGGTGGAGCTGCTGGCCGTCTGCACGGAGGGCAAAAACGTCTACACCGAGATCAAGTGCAACTCCTTGTTGCCGTTGGACGATATTGTCCGTGTGGTTACACACAAAGACTGCATCCCTGAGGTCAGTGGCCTAGAGGTTCATGCTGCATAATTTGAGGGTTGTTTTTTTCTAGCAACATTGTGTTATTGTGGTATTGTCTGTTTAGCCTCCCCTAAACGGCACATAAAAACAAAAACTGTGCCTGGATATTTTATATTGGTCAGATGGTCTGTTCCTGTCTAAGTGTGTGAATTTTGGCCAGATTAAGCTGCAGTGAGTACCAGACAAGTCCAAAGTCTGGATACATGGGACTAGATTGGCACTTGGCGAATGTTCAAAGTCTAAATTAGTGGGTCTGTTTAACTCAAAGGGCCCCCTATTGTCTAACACAAGAATGAAAAGCTAAAATCTAATATTTATTCTGTAGTTATGACAAAGCTGCTTGTTTTCAAAATCAAGTACCACAAAGTGGGAGATATATTTAATAATGTTGTAATTCCATACATTGCAAGAACCTTATGTTCTTCAGTAAAAGTTGCTGAGGGGAAAATATAAAAAAATATTGTTGTTTAAGTTTTTTTTTTTTTAATTATGTTTCTTTAG